GGTAGTCTACTGTAAAACTGTTGATGAATGGAAATAACTCCTGCGCAACAATAGCGTAATCCACGACACTTGATCCATTATAGGTATTACAAGTAAATTGACCAGTTAAGTCACCTTTAGTCCTACCGTTCAATGCAACTAAATTATTTTCAATGCATAATTTAACTAACGATCTTCCGTAACAATTTGTGTTGAGGTCTCTCGAAAATCATTTACTTACTGTAATTGTGGATAAATTTCCCTCATTCAGAAAAGGATCTACATGTGTAAAGTCACCTAGAGTACCTGTTCTAGCATTAATATCGCCGCATAAAATGACGTCACCCAAAGCTGAAAATTTATGGATGTAATTTTGAAGATTTTCAAAATGATCAGTATTAAGTCTGATTTCGCGAGAGGAATTTTGAGGTGGTATATAAACTGAACAAACAAAAATATCACTGGTTAGATTAAAAAATGTATTATCTAATTTCCACCAAACAAATTCTTCATTAGTGTCTTTATCTAAAAATTTGACCCCCTTTCGGAGGGATTGTTTTACCAGAATGGTTATTCCACCTGAATTTCTTCTCGAACTAAGGGATTTTTCTTTACGAGATTTAGAAAATGAACAATAGCCATCAATGTGAACATCTGGATTCCCATAGGGAAGCCAGGTTTAAACTAGTGAAATTAAGTCAAAATGGTTTATTTTTGATAAAAAATCTGTATCATTTAATTTTCCGTGTAAGCCTTCAATATTCCAAACTCCAAACCGAAGAAAATTTTTTGCCATTATTTAAGTATTTTGTAAGAAAGCTAAAAAGAGACATATAGTTAGAATCTATTATAAAATGGAGGTACTTGCATTGGAGTATACATTACCCGATGTTGTGATTGTTGATTAGCTGTTAAAATACTTAATGCATTTGCCATAATCTTTAGTTGTTCCTGTATTGTACTAATATAGGAGGGTTGATCGGGTGATGTCTGAACATTGGCCTGTCGTTGATTCCGTGCTGCGCCGTCCTCGGGTCTTGGTCTAGGGTCCATTGCTAATGATTGAACACTGTCTTGTTAAGTTGGAGTGTTCACTGTGTTGTCATTACGTCTTGCTCTGGGTTCCATTGTTAAAGATGCTTGATCACTCTCTTGCTGAGTTGGAGTATTGGCTGTGTTGTCACCATGTATTGGTCTGGTATCTATCACTGGCGGTGGTTTGTCGCTTCTGTAATGCTCTGCATGATCTGGTCTAGCTGGACTCTGAAATGCTTCTCGCAAAACTGACTTTATGTTTCTTGCTAAGGCTGGAACTCCATACTTTCTACTTAGATGCTTCACATCATGGTATAATAATCTGAATATCGCAGGTTGCCATTATACACATGAAATACATTTCGATATGACTTTATAACTCTATCAATATCATCATTGATTCTGGGCACTTCGTCATCAAACTTATTATCTCTAGAAGTGATATCAGAAAGGATTATTTTTGCATTAGGAAAGGCTGACATAGTTTTCTCTACTAATTTAATTTGATTGTTTATAATTTCTTCCGGCGTGAGATGTTCAACATCGTTTACACCTGTGTTCAGGGGCGGCGGAACAGGGGGGGGGGGCTAGGTGGGCTAAAGCCCCCCCCCCAGAAGTAAAAGCAGAAAATTTGAATTTTTTGAAAAAATTTTGATAATTAGGGAAAAATTTAGGTTATTTTTTGAAAATTTAGTTATAAGGGGACAAATTTGCAATATTTTGTTTAAAAAAAGTGTATTTCCGAAAAATTTTTTTGATATAAGGAGGGGGGGGGGGAAGGTCGCCGAAAAAATTTAGCCCCCCCAGAACGAAATCTGTTCCGCCGCCGCTGCCTGTGTTAATAATCAAACCTTTGTTGACCTTAAATCTGGTGGTGTCGATAATTTCCATGGCTTTAGCTGTCGTGTTACATGGTATCATTTTACTGTTTCTATTGTTGCAAAGTCTGTTTATGTTTAAAAACTTTCTATTAGAGTCGCACAACATAACAAAATCGTAGTCATGTATCTCATTATCTTTATTATCCGCAAGACTGATTATCCGTTTCCTTTCTGTTGAATAGCGGTAAACTCTGCAGTTGATATCTCTTTTATTTAATATATTCGCCCAAATCAGTTTATAAAATTAACAATTTAAAGAGGGGGATAAGTCCCTTCTGCGCATGTGCCCGGCGTTTGTTTACAGGGGACTCCACCGGAAATGAACCTCTCGTTTCCAGTCCCATAATTGGCGATATACACGCGCGATGTTTATATTCCACATGAGG